AAGCATAGTGCTGCATTTGGGACCACATGGCGAAGCAGATGAATGGTTTTCAACAAAGTGTTAAACGCCTTTGAATTTACATGCCGGCCTGTTTACTTCTTCCTTTCTTGTTTAGAGCCACCCGATTCTATGGTAAATCTAAACAAGCCCTTCAACGAGATTATGGAAATCAGACACTCACTCTGGCGGACCTGTTCATAGTACCCAAGGAACTGCTTTCTTCTTCTTTTTTTTAATCAAAATTTTTTTTAACAATTTAAAAGTTTTGATTCATAGGATCCAAAGGAGTGGCCTTTAATTGAGCCATTGCCGTCTTACGGAAGAGGAAGAGAAAGGTCCGGAGGAAGACATATTAGCCTTATACATGGAAATGGCCTTCAAAATGTTGTCATCACAGGTACCAGAACTTGTACTCGTCTCCAACTGTTTCACTTAGAGCAACGGTATAAAGTTTCTGAAGAAATGTGTGACGATATTTCACATGACTTCCGTGAAGAGTCCAGATTCCGCGGACTACTCTTGTTGGTTAAATAAGTAATATGGATAAATGTTGCCGTTGTCTTCAAGGGTATCTAAGTAGTTATATGTTTTTGCAGGACAAAATGGGACAGTTGACGGTCAGGGAAACATGTGGTGGGAACTTTGGTGGAACAAAACTTTGGAGCACACAAGAGGTCACCTCCTTGAGCTAATGAACTCGGAAAATGTTCTAGTCTCAAACCTCACCTTTCGAAATTCTCCCTTCTGGACCATCCATCCTATTTACTGCAGGTTTCATCTTCTTGAATTTTTCTCTCTTCAACTGGCATAACTTGACTTCAAAACTCCATATGCATTTGTTCTTCTTTCTTATCATGAAAGAATTTCTCAATTTCTCCATGCAACAGCCAGCTTTTGATGCTCTGTGACATAGTTTATAATTCAGTTCAAATTCTCTAGGTGCCGTTCAGTACATGTCACAGTTATGTAAGCATTTGGTCCTAGGTACAAAGATATTCTTTTTGAAAAAAATATAATTAAACTGAACTCCTTTAAGTTCGACTTGTCCGTCCTTAGCTTAGTAACTGCAGAACCATGATCATCAACCATATCTTGTTTCAGAAATGTTGTTGTCAAAGGGATGACAATCTTGGCTCCTCTCAATGCCCCAAATACTGATGGTGTAGACCCAGGTTTGTTCCTTTTTGATTATTTATCACTTGCACTCTGTTTTCCAGCTTTGCTTTGGGGCTTATTCTGCATGAAATCATGTAAAGAAATGGAAGATTTGTTATATTTGCTTGCTTGTGAATTTCCCATCTGACTATGCAGACTCAAGTACCAACGTGTGCATTGAAGATAACTACATAGAAAGTGGGGATGATCTTGTAGCCATCAAAAGTGGTTGGGATCAATATGGAATCACCATGGCCCGTCCAAGCACCAATATTGTAGTGAGGAGAGTTTCAGGCACCACACCAACTTGTTCTGGTGTCGGAATAGGCAGTGAGATGTCCGGTGGAATTTCAAATATAACAATTCAGGATTTGCATGTTTGGAATTCTGCAGCTGGTGTGCGTATAAAATCTGATTATGGTAGAGGAGGGTATATAGCAAATGTCACCATTAGTGACATAAGAATGGAGAGAGTCAAGATACCCATCAAGTTTAGCCGTGGTTCAAATGACCATCCTGATGATGGATGGGATCCAAAAGCTGTTCCCGAGTTTAAGCGCATTTTAATCAGTAACGTGACAAGCGTAGTTTCAGCAAAAGCTGCACTTATGGAAGGTATCAAGGATGCTTCATATGAAGATTTGTGCTTCAAAAATATTACCCTGATGGGTGTGCGCTCATCTGCGGCATGGCATTGCGAGTATATTTCAGGCTTTGCCAGTGAGGTGTTTCCCGTGCCATGTCCTGAGTTGCATAACAATGGCACTTCATCCTGGTGTTTACCTTCATGACTTCCCGTGAAATGATAGTGAATGTTTCCAACATGCACTGGGAAATCAGAGGGTTTCCATTTTTGCACATTGAAAAGTTAAGTCTTGCTTGAGCCGGATTATTGGAGGCTTTGAACCACAAAAACGTGCGACTGAATTGATCTTAGGCCTTGAAGGAAAGTGATCTTTTAGGCCTGGTTGGCGCAGATGAATTGCCGGTGAGTTTATGGCTGCAATATGCAAAGTTTCATTGAATTGATGCCATGCCCTGTGATTCCCCGTGGTAGCAAGATGCGTGCAGATGCGCCTGATTGAACCAAGGTGTATAGGATGATGCAACTTTTGTCATTATACGCTGAATTAATGATGTATAAGAATTTTTCTTCTTTGGGAGAGAGGAAGAAGTTGAGTATTGATAAATCCCAATTTTAATATACTATTTGATATCTTTTTGGGGATATTTATCAATTAAAATGAGATAATTTGTATTGATTGTGGATATTTTGAATTAAATACTAGTGGCATAAAATTAGAAATTTAATAAGAAATCTTATCATATTTTTATCTTCGTTTAAATAATTAATTTTGGACTTTATGATAGTATCTTAATTTATCTTTTACAGGTCTCAGAAAAGGAAATAAATATAAAAGGAAAGCTGAAGGGAAAAAAAAAAGAAAAAGAATTTAAAAAGAAAAAAAAAAGGAATTAAGTGATGGAAGCCACAGATTTGCATTAGGTTATTATATTAACCTAATCATCAATTGCCATAGGAGGAGGCTACATACACGCACACGAGGACGGCCAATACCCTTCAAAAATTCATTCTTCAAGTTCGCACAGACACCTCCGCCGCAACACTTCAATTTCAATCTTCCAAAATTCATTTTCATATTCTTCCTCAACCACGTCCCACACATCATTGCCACCAACTTAACCATCCTCCATGGCTGCTAAATCTTTGGCACGAGTTGTAGCTTGGTTCAAGATTATGAGAGGCTGAGTTCGCTGTGCTCTTCGGGATTGAATTCAATGGCTTGAGTTTGAGAGCTACAAAGGGGAGTTTAATTCTAGTCCTTAGTTTAGACTATTTTGTTGATGATTTCTGGTTTGAAGTTTGTTATATTTGGTTTAAAGCTAAGAATTGCTAGTTGTAATTCTTGGTTTGGATTGGAATTGCTGAGATTTGGATTGGTATTTATAAGTTTGAGTACTTGGTTTATACATATATTTATGTTTATGCCTTTGTTAATTCATTGTTAGTGTGATTTTTATGTGAGTTGTATAGAAATTATGCTTGAAGTGAATTTAACAAGTAATTAATGTTCTAGTTGAGTATTAATTTAAAAGGAATAACTTATATAAACCAGTCTTAACCACTTAAGTTACTCCCATATCATTAAATAAGTTAGGATAGTCATTGATTCATTCCTCAAGAGCATTCTTGTTATTGATTTCTTACGATTCAAATTTGTATTTTTCATTCTTTCTAAAAAATACCCAAAAAAAAGTAGTTTAGATTTATTTCTTACTCTCTTAATTAGTTTTATTAATTGAAAAATCATTTTTCAACCCCTCCTTTCAATTCTTTGTCACTTAGTTAACTAAGGAATTAATAAAAAGCTCCTCAAGAAACTCGACCCGAGTTATGCTTTACTGCATAATTTGGTTTTACTTTTGATTTAACCCAAGACGACTAAAAATGTTCAAATCAAATATGCATAGTGACTAAACAATGTAGAAAAAATAAATTTGACGGATAGGAAAGATCATTCTTTTTAGCCCAAGATGGCATCTTTGTATCCTTTAGCGTTTCTTTGATGTCCCTTTACTTTTAACGCGAGGGAATTGAAGTATTACCTCCAGTTCTAAATATAAAAGTTAGTTTGACTTTTAATTTGATTCTAAATATAAAATTCTAATTTAATTCGTCTCTCATATTCATTTATTTTTTTCAAGGTAGTCTCTGTAGTAATCGTACATGTTAAATGCTTCATCAAATAACACCTGATTAGTAAGGATATTTTAGGAAAGATAATAACTATTTACTCCTCCTGTCCTAAATATAAGACCCTTATACTAGTGTATATAAGGATCCTATATTTAGGACAGGAGGAATATTACAAATAACTAATTTAACTAATTTTCTTAATCTACTCAAATTATCAACTAGTTCTTATATTAAGGATTAACAGTAGTATTAACTAACTATATATTGAACATAGTTTTGCATAAACAAAGAGCTGAAACAATTTCCAGATGAATCGAGTAACTAAGTAATGGTATTGGTTTTATTACAATGGCCAACTCAATAGGATCTAAGTCACATTTCAAGAGATAAATCAGAATTTTGTGTATTGGTCATCAAAGAAAGGAGTGAGGAAGAAGACACAAAGAAAGATGAAATTCTATTTGTCAATGGAAGTCTCGTCTTATCTCTGTCTTTCTTCTCATTGTTCTATTATTGCACTCGAGGGAATTCATGCTGCCAAAAGATTGACTGTGCCTAGTAACTTTTTATTCTTCATTGTACATTGAATATTACATTTTTTTCATTGTTTTGATGAATATAATAAAATAAGAAAATGCAAAGGGTTTTCTCTGCTTGAAAACAAAGATACAGAAAGATTACCTAAAAATTGACTAGATATCTTCAAATTACAATCTAAAAATGGATACTTACCTTCTCCAATAAATAATTACTCAAAACCTATTCCCTTCCTCATATAACATAAGCTACCATTGCACAGAACAGAACTGATGGTTCACATTCGGAATTTACTGAACCTTAAAGTTTCAAAAATAACGAGCATGCCATCTAAGAGCAATCTTGAAATTTCAGATATTAAAGGTCTCATACAACAATGAGCTGACCCAATGTTCTGCATTGTGTTTCTTTGAAGCAACGCATTTCTTAGTTCTCCCATCACACTTCGTTGCAAAGGCAGTAGTGAACTCCAAGACAGTTGTAACTTGCATTTCGTGCAAACTCTATTTTTTTTTTTTGGCCAACACAAACTCTAATACAATGTTTATATATAACACTGATATTAATAATGATTCATATTATATATATATATATATATTCACCGAAGAAGACTGTATATCATTCATTTAGAGCAAGAGAAGGAAAATGGTAGTTAAGTGGAGAGTTGAGATGAACTCGGCTGCTCCGCATTTTTTCGTGTTCTTCTTTGTTGTCTTAACAAGCATAAAAGTTTGCGTCGCAGACTGTGATAATTTGCAGGACACTTGCCCAGCAGCTTCACCTGAAGAGCAGACCATATTCATCAATGGCCTTTCCTGCAAGAACCCCGCAGAAATAGCTCCTCATGATTTCAAGAACATGGATTTCGGCGAGGCCGGTTCTACAGACAACATTGTTCGTTCCTCCATGAAAATCATCTCTGCGCCAGAATTTCCCGGTCTGAACACTCTTGGCCTCTCAATTGGTAGAACTGACATTGGTGTCGATGGGATGGTGCGACCGCATCAGCATCCAAGAGCGACCGAGATGATCTTTGTCGTCGAAGGCGTATTGGTCGCCGGATTTCTTGACACAGACAACAAAATTTTCCAGACAATGCTCAACGTAGGTGACGTATTTGTGTTCCCCAGGGGTTTGTTTCACTTCTTTCTGAATCGTGGTCGTGGGGCTGCCATACTCTTGTCTGTGTTCAACAGTCGAAATCCAGGGATGGAATCGGTCAATACCCCACCTCTAGACACAGCCATAGATTCATTACAGAAGCTGATCCCACTTTCTGATTCACATATTCATGACTTCGACAATTTTACTTGGACGGGATCCGACAGCATTTTCAGTTTTTAGCAACTTCACGACTTCCTAAATTATATAGTCCGTTTGTATCTCAGTTCTTTTTTCTTGTTTAATTGAAACATGCTACATGTGTGTGTTGGTGATTGCATGAGCTCGTCTAGTATCCTCAAGTTGGAATTTTTAATCCCGTTTAGCCCCTCGTGCATGTGCATAATTGAAGAAGGAACAGAAGCCAAGTAACAATGGAGTGAAATTCAATCCACCTTTTTAATAAACCCTCTGGGCAATTCACGTGCCGAGATGCCTAATTGCCTATCGTCACGAGTCACGACGCATGCTTCGCAAAAGAATCAAATCAGTATATTCAATTATTCATAGAGATCTATACAAAAAAATCAATGACTCTCTGGGCATGTGTGGAAGCTACTGAAATAGAAGTATTTTTAGTTATCAACAGTACGGCTTCAAGAAATCTCACACAAATCGGTAGATAGATTTTCACTCATAAAACAAGCTGATTGGATTTTACGAAAAGAAAGTTCATACTAAATTCGAAACTGGGTCAACTTAGCTCACGAGAACAAGTGCATGTTTGTTTCCCGCATTTCCGTTCAGCTATTTTACTTCTAGGAGAATTTCGAAGCAACTTTCGTGAGAGGGAATTGTAACTTCTGGGCAAACTCTGTTTGGAATGGAAAATAAACACTTTATAAAACGATCAGGCGTGGACCCACAGCGAAGCGAAATCTAAATTCTCCATTTGCAGAGCTCGTAAGCTATATTAAAAAAAACTAAATTCTCCATTTCAATGTTGGGGGTACAGATGATAACTCTCGATAATTGATACTCCTCCGGTCCTTATTATAAGACCCAATTTGACTTTTTATTTGATCCTAATTATAAGACCCAATCCATTTTCTCTCTTATATTTATGCATTTTTTTCCAAGATAATCCTTCTAATAATGATAGTTTTAGCCAATATACTTAATTAGCAAGGATATTTTAGGAATAACAACACTTATTTATTATAAATAACCAACTTAACTTACTTCCTTAATCTCCTCAAATAAGTCAATTGGGTTTTATAATTAGGACCGGAGGAGTACTATTTTAGTTTCTTAATATAAAACTAAATAATTAATTTATAAATATAAAAAAAATTAATAAAATTGATTATTTGTAATAAATGAATTTTGTCTTGCTTAAAATACTTGTTAATCATATGAAAAAGAGTAGAAACCCTTCAACACATAATCATCATCATGACTACTTAAGTAAAAAATAAATAAATGAGAAATAAAATAGATTTAGATCTTATACTACTTCCGATCTTTAATTTATGACCCTTTTTTACTTTTATTTTGATCCTAAATATAAGACCCTCAATCCACTTTGTCTCTCATATTTATACATTTTTTTTCCGAAGTAGCCTTTCTAACAATAATAGTTCTAGTTAATACACTTGATTAGTAAGGATATTTTAGGAAAAACAACACTTATTTAGGACAAATAATTAACTCAACTTACTTCCTTAATCTCTACAAAGTAGTCAACTGGCTCTTATAATTAAAACCAGAGGTAGTATTTAATATCAAATTAAAATTTTAACTAGATCTTATATTTATAATTGTAGTAACAGACTAAATATATGACAACTAACTAAAAATCGGGCCATTAAAGAAGCAAATAATCGAATACAGAACTGTTAAACTTTAAAGGTGGACTTGGTCCATGGCCCCCAAAAAAAAAAAAAAGGCGTGCTTAGTTTCAGTGAGCATGGAAGGGCGATAAAATAAAATATGTTCAAACCAGATTGTGTCTAAATGTCTGTATTCATCACCATTTTTCTGGCAGCGGCATGCTTTGAAAGCCATGCAGTATTATCACATTCAGAAACTGAATGATCAAAGTCGTCATACCTTTCTTACATAGAAAAAGGGCATGAATCTTTCAATTTATTTCAACTAGGCAAAAAATTAGTCTATATACATATTCCACGTGTATAAATCAATGACACTATTTCCTTCTGAGGGAACTTTGTACTTCAAAAGACCCCAAATTTTGAAAAGTGGAAGATATGAACTATCAAAAGAAAAATAATAGCACTTAAATGTATGGAAATGGTAAGGATGATCAGCTGGTCAGGAATGCCTTCCAATGTACAAGAAATCCTGACAGCTACTCCATGGCGATCATCTGAAAAGGATTTCCTAGTCTGATGGCTCCACACAAATATAAAGAAGTTTTCCTTTTGTTTTCTCCATTGTATCTCTGAGTATTGATCATCTTCTTGTATACTTATTGACGCAAAACTACACTCACACTGTCTTGGATGAAAAATAGAGGGAGACGGGAGAGAAAGATAGAGATAGAGAGGGTGCGGGGAGAGGGAACGAACAGAATTTGAGGGGGAAGAGAGCTCAGGTGCTGAATAAGCAACAAATATCAATCATCAGAGAAAAAGAAGTCATCCTGGTATATCCTACAGCCTTGAAGACAGTCCAGTAGCTAGGAAGCCTGATATTTGAGAGTTACAAAATATTCATAGGATGAAATCCAGTTAATCGGCCAGAGTTATCCCAGAATAAATTTAATATAGTCCAACCAAAGTGGTCATCTTATTCGTGACAATCTTTTTCGTTTTCGGCTCTTCCTGCGAGTAACACCAATTTTTGCAATATTGCCACCAGAAGGAAGAGCCAAAGGTGATGATCGTTTGCCTTGGTAGGTTCTACCTTTCTTTGAAACCCATTTCAAAGGCATACTTTTTACTACAGCACCAATATCATTACAGTTATTCAGTTCAACAAGTCTTTGGATTTGATCAAGCATCTGGTGAGTCCAAGCAATTGACAGATCCAATGCAACTGAATCATCCTTTGGTTTTGTCCACAGATCCATCAAAACCTCTTTAAATGATAGAAAAGATAAGGATGGCTGAGAGCCCTTACTATTTTCACAAATCATGTTTACCTTGATTACATGCTTGCAAAGGTTGCCTTGCAGTGACCAAGAGCAATCACAGAATGCAAATTCTGACCCAGGATTCCACACCAAATTTCTTGAAGTGCTGTCTTTCTGACTCACAACTCTCGCATAGAGGAGGTCCTTGTCATCCAAGGTAACAGCAGAGTCAGGAATTTGTAGTGCTCGATGCCATGATGTGGAAGCAATATATTCCCCCTTTAAATTCAGGAAAGAATCACTTTCATCAGCATATCGCTCAAGCCAGTAGCTTGAATGGAGTTCAGTTGTTAACTTGTGCACCGACCAATCCACTCTTTGAAGTGCTCCAAGATGCGAATCATCAAAAAGTTTGGCTTTCAGTCTCACATGATAAGCTTCTACGGCACCAGAAGCTTCTTGACTCGCTAGTGGAAGAGTTCTCATCATTGAAAGCCACATTTCTGTTTCAAACAGAAGAGGTAGAGGAAGGGGAGAGCAAAATACTAAACTAATGAGCCAGACCATAAATTTTTAAGACAATTTCATTTCATTTGTGATTTATGGTTGTCAAGTATGCATGCCACATTGCCAATATGTTCAGACAGATAAGCATTTCTGAAGCGATTCAGTGCATTGAAAAGAGTAGGAAGAACATCAACTAACCAATCTTGGGCACCCAAGAGGTTTTGAAATATTCCATGAAAGCAGTTTGATCAACAAAATCCATGACAAGTTGTTCCAGGGCGACAGATGTATTATCTCCACCCCATATGCCGTATGCTATAGTCCCAAGACGTTTGAAAATCTCTCGCTGAACCTCAATGCTACTGCATTTCTTGACAATATTTCTTAGCCATGATCTCCGAACACGCCAAAGTGAAAATACGATCGGACAGCAAAATATATCCCTGTTAAAGCAGAAAATCCTAGTAAGACAATTATATATAATACAAAGAGTTTAAAATTAAGTTAATTAGTCAAGCAGTAAGTCCTGCCTCAAAAGATCTATATCAGCAGCTGCATCATCAATTAAAAGTCCACTGACATTCCAGCCAGGTTCAACACTTCGAGCTCGAGCAATCAAAGCTTTCAGCCACTTTGACATGTCAGCCTTCGTGAAGCTACGTGTAATGACCCATGCAACAGGCAGTGCATGATGTCTTGAATCAAAAACAAGTAGTGTGAACAAAGGATACTGCAATTAAGAAAAGCAAGCTAGCTCAGTACAATACACAAAGCTCTCTTTTATATCTTTTAGAAAATAAAAGGCCAAGAACAGAAACTAATTACTTTAAGTCTTTTAATGCCAAAGGTTGAGTCAGCTGCAACAATACTATGGTGACCAAACCGGATCATTTGCTGCAACTGCCATTCTGTTTGGATTCCCAAGATAAAAGGGTCAGACTCTGAAGTGTCCTGGTTAAAAAATACAGACTTCTTATTCCGTTCAATCCACATGCGAATGCTGGCCTGATCATCAAGGTCCAGCTCATGGGTGGACCTTTTGATAATCATACCTAGTTTGTGGACATACTGAGAGGCAAGGTTATTAACTTTTGCATTAGAACCACAATAACGTTGAATTCCTTCAATGTGTTTCTCCAAGATATTTTCTTCAGGAATGCCCAGATAAATCATGGACATTGTTTGCTGCTGAATCTCATTACATATATATGGAACTTTTATGGCACCTGGTCCAATGGCATCGCCGTCAAGTGGCCCATGACAGACAAAACCTGACTTGTTAACATGGCGCCTCTCATTGTATGTGATAAGTGCAAGTGATGGACGGGCATAAAGACGTTTGACAACAAAGTGACAGGTACAACCCCGCATTGATTGAGGTCTAGCAGCACGATTGCGGGTATTAAGCCGATATCTTCTACTAGGTAATATACCTCCACCTTCCCCGTAATTTTCTGGACCAAAGGAGCACCAGTACCTTCATACATAGAAAGATTCAAACTCGATAACGTAAGTGTTGGAAACCTGAACGTGAAAACAGACACTTCCCAGCAAATCAACTATTTTTATAATATTCCGTCGCCATTCTGCTGTTGGGTGCAAACCCCAAACAATAAGTGGAGTAAGGGGAGAAAAAAGTTGGAAACTAAGAAAGCAAGAAAAGCCTTGAGAAATCAAGCATATGTTCCAAAGGCAAACTATCTGCTCATCACTGAAGGGAAAAAACTCAATGTTATTTGAATAAAGAATAACAGACATGCTGGAAACTTACAGCCTGTACTCCAGATACTCATCATCCTTGTACTCCTTCAAGCTGCCCAATGACCGTCTTCTTGCTCTCTCAAGATGAAACTGCGTCGGGCATTCTACATTTGAGCATTCACCAGTCATAAAAGAATCAACTCGCTCGTAAGGAATAAGGGCAACTTCATCATGGTGCTCGGCGTTGCCAAACTTCGTCCAAGTCAAGTCAGCAGAACAGAATTCCCCCTTAAGTGGGTCTTGCAAAGGAATATTGGAAATCGATTCAATTATAACCATGTTCTCCCTCAAACTTTTATAACCACATCTGCAGAACAAAAATAATCGAAGAGTTTCAATACGAAGTGTTGACCGGCGTCGTGTTCTATAACGCTATGATGCAGAATTGAAAAAAACTGAGTGTTCCCCACAGAATTAATACAGTTTCAATACAAAGCCGAAACCTTGATGAAGCGTAGTATATCCTATAACATTCCTAAGGAATCCATTTCACAAAGGGAGTTAAATAGTCGATTTGGCACAGTTTTTGAAGCAGCTAAGGAAAGCAGAATACTTCACGCCAAACTAACCAAGTCAGTGTCGAGTTAGAAAACAAACCCTTTCTCCCGCTAAATGAAGTGATGATGACTCTGTCTGAAACTCACCCGAGAAGTTCTTGTCAAGTTAGTTCAATACTCAGCCTCTGGAGACAGCTCAGTGGAAAAGGGTTCAGAGGATATTGAAACTTCAAAGCAGAGGTTTAAGAAAAATCCGCCATTTGGCGTATTAAAAAACAATGGAGCGGGTGCTATCAAAATAATAATAATAATAATAATGGAGCGGAAATAAAATGGGAAGTCATTTCGTGGCAGGGTAATGTCCAGAAACGGAACCTAGCCAAAAGGCAGAACCTTGGACATTTTATTTATTTTATATTCTAGCTGGGCACAAAGGACACCAATCACCATGCCGTTTAAACGGCTAACCGTTGATGATAGATTTTTGGCGCAAAGCCACGGTCGAATGTCTTATGTCCACGGGAATAGCCGGTACAATGAGATAATAAATCGAATTTTGGTATTTATATATCTCAAAAAATAATATAGTTATATGTAAATTTTATATTTGATCTTTTTATTTATTATATTTTATTTTTTAATATACTATCTCCGGTCCTTAATATAAAACCCTGTTTGATTTTTATTTTGGTCCTAAATATAAGACCCCAATTTACTTTGTTTCTCGTGTTTATATTTTTTTTCTCAAAGTAATCATTCTAATAATAAGAGTTCTAGTCAATACACTTGATTAACAAAAATATTTTAGGAAAGACAACACCTAATCTCCTCTAATTAGTCAACTGACTCTTATAATTAGAGCCGGGGAGGTAGTATTATACATTCATAGAATTTTTATGGATGTAAAACAGAACACAATATCAAAATTAACATCTCCAGTCCAACGGACAATGTTAACGTCAGCAAAGATTAGTTTAATTAGTAAACATTTGACCCATAACTCGATTTTGCTGGTTCAAATCATACTGTCAATCTATAAATATATTGGATTGTTTCAGTGGGCTTCACTGGATACGTGGGAGTGGAAAATAGTTAGCAGCAACACATATACATTCTATATGAGACTCATCCGATTTTCTAAGATCTGTTTCGATTCGCGACTTGATCCCCTCTCCCAGCTCAATAACTGGTTCTTGGCCGCCCATTGCAATCTAATCCTTTAAATGGTTTAACAATCTGAGACAAAGCTGTTGTTCTTTTCGGCCGAGGATCCAACCGATCCAACCGTCCAAGGATCCAACCAGTTCAACCGTTCGGTCCGACTCCAAAAATAGTGGCACATATTATGATTTATGAAGGGAGAAAATTAAGATGAATTTTTATATATTTATAAACACAATTGGTTGGTAACAAAAAAATAATATATATAATAATCATGCATTTAGAAATCCGTGCAAGTATGATCTTTTCTTGAACATTTTAAAAAGAAACACTTCAGTTTTTACTTGAGTCAATTCCAATATGTCAATATAATAAAACCTACATTGTCGATTGCAAATGATGTGTTTTGTTTTTCATGTTCCATGTATTACATATAAAAAGGAAATATATCCAATTTAAATGATATTATAGTCCCTCTAATTCTAAATACAAAATCTATTTTGATTATAATACAAAATAGGTCTTATGTTCAGGATCGAAAGAGTAGTACAGAACAATTCTTTTCAGTAACTTAAAATATATTATAATTAAGATAAACTAAAATATGTTGTACTTGCTCTTCCATAAAAGCTCATATTAAGTGCAATAAGCTATGTCAATGAAAATAATAATGCACCGATATTTTATTTTTTAAAAAGAAATATATGTGTATTATGTAATGAATTTTTTATTATATTGTATGTAGGGGTGTTCACGGGACGGATCGGGACCGGGACAAGCTCGTCCCGGTTCCGTCCCGATGAACAGTAACGGGACAGATTTTCTGTCCCGTGTCCCGGCCTGTCCCGAGGTTGTCCCGGTCCCGGTCGGGACGGGACGGATCCGGGACGGGACCGGGACGTCCCGAAATAATTTTATTTTTATTTTTATTTAATTTATTTAATTTTTTTTAATTTATTTAATTTTTTTAAAAAAAATCTAATTTTTTTAATTATATTTTTTTGAGCTTAAATCTTATAAAAACATCTTTTTTATTTGTTTGGGCACTCTTAAACAAAAGCTCAAAATATTACATATAATAGTTATTAAAAACTCTAAACAAAAGCTTTTAACACAATAAAAACTTGCTAAAAATTCTAATCATCAATAATCTCAAATCATTAACAAATATAAAAACTCTAAATAAATATATCCATAATTCCATACAATAGTCTCAAATCTTAAAAAAATATGAAAAAAATGATATTATATAAAAAATTAAAAAAATTAATTTTTTTTTTAAAAAAAGGAACCGGGACAGGACCGGGACGGGACGACCCCGTCCCGTGTCCCGTCCCGGTTTGTCCCGTCCCGTCCCGGTTTGTCCCGTCCCGTCCCAATAAGACCGGGACCGGAACGGGTCGACTGGGACGGGCCGACCAGGACGGGCCGGCCTTGAACACCCCTAATTGTATGTGCTTTCAAATTTTGTGGATAAAAAAAAAACACATTGAAAAAGCTATTCCAATATATACTTTAGTCATTTAACTTTACAAAATTTTAATTTAGTCTTTTAATTTTAAAAAATATATGTTTAGTCGTTTAATCTTAAAATCATTAACAAAACCGATAATATTAATATCTTAAGTGTTGATAAAACATTTTCGAATATTAACACATCAAATTTAAATTTTAAAATAACTATGATTGTTACAAAAAATCATAATTTAAAACTCATAATTTTAGGGAGAAAAAAACTAAAAATATATTTTTTTTAATGTTAGAGGACTAAAATAAAATATTGTATAAAAATAAAGTACAGAATGTATACTTTAGCATGTATAATTATACAATGACAATGCAAATTTTGTTCCTTCAGTTTCCTTATCTAATGTATCCAATATTTTTCTTTTCACGTGACGCCGTGTAAGCTATGCATTAAAATAAGACGTCCATTTGTATGAGTTCCTTCCACGCATACAAATGATCGTCCTTTATGGTATAATAGAAACATTAAAAATGCAGATTTTAGCATATACTCTGATTGATTTACTCTCTGAGACATGCATGTAATGATGACAAACAAGGAACCTAATGCAAAGTCGAACAAGAAACGGAAGTCTGTTCCCTCCAAGAGCATTAATGGAATCAGAACCTAGGACAGATAAAATTAACAGCTAAATCGAAAACATTACGATTATTCACTGATTAAACCTAGAAAAGACAACAGAAAACTAGAGACTCATGTACTATACTGCAATTCCCTCTCGAAACAGATGTAGCAAATAACTATGTATATGGAAGCGCGTCATCATGGTCAACTGTCGCTGGCAGAACAACTTCCCACACCAAGAAAGTCTATAAAGGAAACACCTTTAAGCTTTTCAACTTGTTCTTCCAGAGTTGTCTTGTCTGGCATGCCTTTGATGGAATAATCCTCAGTTCTTTGGGCAAAATAGGACTTTGAGAACCTCTGAGGAAGAGGAACGACCCTTCCAATACTGGGAATTCCTGGGGCAGTAAAACTACTGTAACTGCCAAGCGAACAAGAAGCAGCTGAACTTGAGGCATTAAAGTGATCGATGTGAGGCTTAGAAGCATCAGGAGCTTCAAAACTCAGTAACTCTGACGAGATGGTCGAGGAATCACTTCGAGCATTCCAAGGATTCAGTCCTAATGAATGTGAGGAAGTGATATCGAAGATGCCCAGGTTTCTGCTGTTTTGGAAGGTGAAGTTATTAATCCCTGAGGTAGGCCTTTGCGAGGTTGAGTCAATTATAGGAATATGATTATGATTAATACTAGTGTAATTGCCGCTTCGGTCGCCAAAGAGCGTGTAACGTTCTCTCTTTCTCCTTGCCATAAGGACATGGAAGTGATTCTTGACAGCATTATCAGTTCTTCCGGGCAAGAACCTTGAAATTGCAGCCCATTTGTTTCCTTTTACCTTGTGAAGAGCTAGCAGTATTTCCTCCTCCTCCTCTGTGAATGGCCTTTTTACTATGTTTGGGTCTAGTTGGTTGTACCACCTCAACCTGCAACTTTTCCCTATGAAATAATGATCCCAAATTCAAATGCCAATTTCTTATTAGTTGAGAGTTCTTCTGGAGGAGAAAAAAAGAAAGAAAATAAAGTCAAAAATGTTGAAAGTTTAACAGAAAAAGGCGATGGAGTTGGAGAATGATTCTCCTCTCTTTAACCTTGAAAGAAAATAGCCTTGATGATCGAAACTTTTGGGAAGGTTATGAATAGTTCTATTATAATCTTTAAAAGAAAGTTATAAATAATGTCATTCATTTACCTGATCTCCCATCAAGATGTTCCGCAATGAAATTCCAGTTCTGAGGACCGTACTGCTCCACAAGCTGTTTCAGTCTCTCATCTTCAGCTGGTCTCCAATGGCCTCTGTTACAACTCTTACTCTCACTGCTACTGCTTCTGGACATTCTTCCCGGAACAAAACAAGGCTAGATGAAAGATACAAGAGGTAAAACCAGAAGAAGAAGAAGAAAGATGAATAGAAAGAGAAAGGAGAAGGGCCTAGAATAATAGGTTTGGTGTTGAGTTATATAGATAGAAAAATCCCTTTAGCTGTGCCTACAAGATATGGAAAGTAAGTATAAGAATTAGCCAATTTCCCTCAAATTCATCACCTCTAAAAGATCCGAAAAAGGACATGTGCTTATTGTATCTGACGGGAAAATCCCACTTTCAAACATCCTCCTTACTCTGTGATTCTTCAAGTTTGGAAGTATTTTGTTTCATGCAGTTTATTAGGGGCTACATATATGGAAGTTCATTAATGTCTGTTAAAGAGTGAGTGGTTGTCCAAAACCAACTTGAGGGTATGTAAATGGAAAATTCTTTGAGCACTTAAAGGTGTACAACTGTACTCTAGGCAGACTTGGGAAGAAAACAACAAGCATTTTCCTATAAGCTTCCATGATTTGGTGTGGTGTGGGTCTTACATACTTCATGGACCATCTTAGACATGTTCATAACAAGAAATCCTAAATTTAAACCAGCAAAGTCAATTTATATTGCCATGATATTCCATTATTTAATCCCACTTGTTTTAAAGCAAGTGCCGTGAAAGTTTGTTTCTTAAGTTCTCACCCTAAGCTGTTACTGTATCCAATATTAATTGATTTCTTTAATTCTTCAATTCATGTTTACGGTATGATCAAAATCTGTTGGGTTTGAATAGAGAACCAGTGAAATGAGATTATGACAAAGGAATAAAATTTAAGCATGGAACTTTCAAATTTTAATGGATAAAAATGTCATTAATATGAGGGTTTCTTTTATATATATAAGCATAATTAAATATTCATTAATAATGTATGATAGCTCTTATGACATTTAGTCTAGTCTTTAAAAGATTATTGTTTGACTTCTTTTATAATACCATTTTTTCTTGTTCATTCTTTCAGTTCATGAATTTGAAGGATGGGGAGATGAAGAAAGGAACAAACGCATGAATGATGTCCAGATATTTCCAAAAAAAAAAGAAGAAGAAGAAGAAGTGATTTTTAACGCTAAAAGATTAAAGACTAGTTGTGTTTTGCACCCATGCGCGTGTACACACACAAAAGATTATGCATGTGTTTGTATGTATATTATGCTTCTTTTGTGGCAAATTCTTATCCGTGTAGGTGTTAAAGAGATTCTAGACATTAAAAAAAAAATGAATTCTCAATTTCGCAACTGATTCAGATTCTATGCCCCACAATATCAAAAGGCTTAGTGCACAAGCCATTTTTTTCCCATTAAGGAAATGACCACCGCCACAAGCTCTACAACTAGTAAACTAAACACTGTTTTGCGTTCAATTGGGTGATTAATGCTTTCTTTTCAGACTCTAAATCGGATGAAGATCCTTTCATCTTTTGGAGCTAGAATGACCTTCTTTTGCAGCTGTAATCCGCAAGACTTTATGGAGGCCAACTTCATGAGTTCCCAATCCCAATAAAACAAAAGCTTCAAATGCTTCAAATTGAACCACATCTGCAATTAATAAACCCAAGAGTTTATGGGGCTGCAGTTAAACTTTTTTTTGGCCAGATGGAAGCAGTTAAACCTTGATGGAGATTAAATTTGACAGGTAAATTGTGAAATCACTGTCACTACTCACTAGTAAAATTGTGCAAGTTAGATTTGATCATAAATTAACCGGGAAAAGAAACGAGTAAGTGAATGATGGAGCCTTTAGTCAGGGCAAAATTAGCAGTTTCCACTCCGGCGATTAAGAAAAATACTCCTAGCTTTTCCCCACTTTTCCTTATTTTGTTATTCTCTGATATGTCGTTATTCTTACTTCCGTTAACCGCTGTAACAAACCTTAAGATCTCACCTCGCGACTAGCATTTATAGTATTTACAATGTTGTTAGTCAAGGTTGTTTAGTTATAGCATTTGCTAGCCTATGCCATGATTATGCATATCATTATATGCTATACCAGTATTACATAGTACACGGGTGTATTTTGTTTTTGAGGGAATCATGGGAACCCAGGCGGGATGGTTATGTGTCAAACGGAAATTAGCTGCATTACAAGGCGTTGGAATTGGACAATGTGAAAGAATCTATATCTACCGTTTGAGAGAGAGATGAGATGGTAGCTACTAGTGAGGACAAATAAGGCAGTAAATGACATTCTAAACTTAGCTGTTAGCTGATAGCTTTGCACCGGAGTTGAAATTTTCTTGCCTTTTCAATGCTAAGCAATTGGACGCAGGCAACATTCCATATTTGGAGAAATCAAAGTATGGATGGTAGGCCTTTAATTTTTGAGGTACTTCCCATTTTGTTAGTTCAGTAACATTTTGACAACCAACATACCATTCTCTATTTGCCTGCCAAGTGATCCTTCCGCCTTGCGAAAGCGACGTCTGAGCCACTCCCCAGCTACCATTTTTCTTTTTAACTTCCCAGGGGTAATAGAATAACTTCTTCCCATATTTGGCAAAATCGGAAGATTAGAAAATTTACAGGGGTCAGTAAATGTTGCAAGCTGCGCCTAATACACAAAACGATGGGATTATGTATACCTTGATTAGAAGGTCACACCATAAATCATTTTCTTACAAATAAATGCTTAGTGAATTCACTTTTGTCTTCCCAATGATCAACTCAAGCCACCGACTCCAACGTAAGGAGAAGGTTGCTGGTAATCATACAAAGCCAATTTTTATTAAATTGTCTGGGTGAACATTTAAAAAATAGTCACGATTTTAATCACATGAAAATTACATTAGTTATTTTTATATCATCAGATATTTATATCTACCATAAATGGTCATGTATGCTATACGCATTAATATTAATTAAAATGTTATATATATTAAAAAGAATTAAATTACGATCAATCCATTACAGCATGCATACTCCTTGTTCTATTTCATTTCCAATCTAGCTTTTTTTTTAAAAAAAAAAAGTTACAACGCATCCTCAAATGTATAGTAATGGGTATCGATTTACGAGCCAGGAAACAAACTAGTAAAGTAAAACCATCGTATTATTTCTACATGGCTCCTCAAAGATCAGAGAGCCGCACAACTAGCTCCAGCCGGTCAATCCTAATCTGTCAGCAAGATTGTACATAACTAATTCATTCCAAATAGGACCAAAGAGGCGTTCTCCTCCAATGGCAAATGTTAGAGCCCATGAACAGAGAAGGGCAGCAAATACAGAAAACCCAACTGCTGATGCAACAACATCTGCGCAAAAAATGTCCAAGAAATTAGATCAACTGAGTACAAGAAAGGGGCTCCAAAAATATGAAAGAGATTCACAAAAACAACTCAATCTTCTCACTGAAAGCTAAAACTACTAGTAAATGCACATTTGTCAACAAATGTGATTGAGACAAATTAGTGCCCATGCTCCTCCCCCATAATAAGAATTGAATAAGTAGCTCCATGCCAGAGAATCTTCCATGCTTCACAGACATATTTTAGTAAAGAGAAATTTGTTCATAAGGCTCAAACAATAACACGTATAGTAGAGCATCTCAAGCTTTTACAATATTGCTTGATTTCACTTTGCATCAAACTTTGGTTTTAAGAAAGAATGTGTTAGAAGCCGTGATCTTCTCCCCTATATTCTCCCTTGATTTACTCTATAAATTACCTAGAATAAGTTCCTGATTTCTTGTGATATTGCATTATTCTGATTGATTGTAATCTCTTTGCATCATTATTATTGATTGTAACCGGATTGCATATTTCCATTCGGACTCTATATATTGTACCGGGATCATATGAAATAATATATGAGTGAATTTACAAACTCTCAAACAATATGGTATCAGAGCTCTGGGTTCGGTCTGAACCCAGAAAAGCTCCGTGAGAATCTGCTGTGAGCCAGAGAGAGAGAGACAGCGCGGGGAGAGAGAGAGAGAGAGAGTGGGCGTCCTCAACTTGGTGCAAGGAGAGCTGCGTGGACGACACCACCCCTCCAGTCCTCACCGGCGTCCCTTGATCGGCCAGTCCCCAGAAGCCGACGTCGAACGGAGCTGCGCGTGACTCTCACGCGCCGTCACAAGCTCTGCGCGTGAAGCCCACGCGCCGCCACGCCCCTGTCACTGTTCCAGCGCGTGAAGCCCACGCGCCGCCGCCAGAGACCTCCAGTGCCTTCCAGAGACCCAGAAAATGGATGACCCAGAATTTCCACCATTGTTTGGATCTGTTCGCAATATTCCAAGGGCCTTCATGTCCGGTACATCTTCTAATACTCAAGCTACTCCTTCTAAAAACTCCACTGCAGAATCAGACTTGACAATAGCCACTGAACCTCAAGCTATGGGGGTAGCTCACAAACTTAATGGTAGCAACTATCTCCAATGGTCTCAAAGTGTGTTAATGTATCTGCGTGGGAAGCGTAAGGAGAAGTATATCAATGGAGAAGCACAACAACCTTCACACAATGACCCCAAATTTGACACCTGGTTCGCTGAAAATAATCAGGTGATGTCTTGGTTGTGCAATTCAATGACCCTCGAAGTCAGTGAAGGATACCTTCTTGCAAGCACAGCCAAGGAAATCTGGGATGCTGCTAAGCGGACCTACTCTACCCTCGACAACACTGCAGCCTTATTAGATCTCAAGAGGCAACTCAAAGATCTGAAGCAAGGCAACTTAACTGTAACACAATACTACAGTACTCTGACAAAGATATGGCAGCAATTGGATCTCTTTGAAGTACATCCTTGGAAGGATATAGATGATGCTAACTACTACAGACAGTTGGTGGAAAAGGGACGAACATATGAATTTTTGTTGGGCTTGAATGATGTGTTTGAAGAAGTGAGGGGGAGAATTATGGGACTGAAACCCTGCCATCCCTATTTGAAGTCTTCAGTATGGTTAAGTTCGAAGAAAGCCGACGACACCTCACCCAGGGTAATCTGACCCCAGCAGAAGGCTCGGCATTGGTGACGAGAGGG